GCCTCTCCGCGCGGCTAATAACCACGAGAGAGGGTATATCGTCTCGCGGCTCGACGCGCATCGAAGGGCACACAGACTGACGGGCTACGCGGCGGCGGCGCTCGATTAATTGGCGGATAACCTCCTTCCTGGCGGTCAATGTCATTTGCATGAGAGACCGCCGCCGCGGCTCTTTCTCTTTCTCTTCTCACGGCAGAAGAAAAGCCCTCCGTGAAACGCGTACAAACGAGGCGGGGAGACAGCCGCGGAGCCCATTAAAGCGCGCGGAGCACCGCCACGTCGCCCTTTCTACACCGCTCCAATAACGTATGCAACGTTCCCTCCATGGATTTTACAATCGATCCTTGACCACCTTCGATCCCTTTCCACCTTCGTGGAAATTTTCGATCGTTATCGATTCTCCTGATTCCCGATCGATTCGTGAAAAGTGAAAGTTCGCCAGTGGCCTTCTTGGACATTGGACATTGTTTACAGCGAGTTCATCTTCGATCCTATAAATTGATCGAATTAAAAATGGGACGATGGAGAGATGGGCACCGTGTCGAGTTTGCATAAACGCTCTCGACCTGTTGTGGATGGGTTCGATGTTGCACGCTCGAGCCGGTGTTCCACCCGTCGTCGCTGGGAATAAAGGGCTCTCTTGTTTTATTGCCGGACGACGAGATTCTCGCGGCGCGACGCTCGATTCATTCGAAGCGACAGTTGTCCAGTCAAGGATTATACGTTGCTCCTTGCGAAACTCGATATCACGTTGCCGATAACACACTCGTGACAGAGTGACGAGAGGAAACGGGAAGCGGCCGGCTGACTTGATCTACACGATCAACTCGTCAATTTATTAGTACCATTAATTAAATTGTGATTCTTCCTTTCATTTTTCCTCTGCTATGTATAAATCCTGTCACGAATCTTCCATCCGTTCATTCGTTTCTTCCAAGTTTCGCGTTCAACGTTTCGCTCTTCTCCGGATATTTCACGGCTCTTTCTAAACATTCGACTCGAGGCAAAAAAAGAAGGAAAGAAAAAAACCTCACCCACGTCCACCACGCTCAATGCTTCAACAACGGGCAAAAGGGCATTGTGAACGAGTCGCACGCGTAGTTTGCTTATCGAGCGTGGCGATCTGCGTCGCGTTCGCGCCGCTTTGTTCGGATTATTCCTCGCTCGAGCACGGCCGGGGCGGGAGAGAGGGAGGGGAGAGGACCATTGGCCGCGTATATCGTTTTTACTATTGGTCGAAGGACGGACGTTGTTCCGGCGCTGCAAGAAACGAGGCAGCGGGAGGATCGAGGAGGAGGGAAGGAACAAGAAGCCGGGAGAAGAAAACGCAACGATTCGACACGCGGTTGGACGCGATCGTGGCACGATCGATCCGTGGATCCATCGATCGGGCCCTCTCTTCTTCTCTTTTTCTCTCTCTTTTTCTCTCTCATCGGCCGAACAACGTCGAGAAAGCGACGCGAACCGCGACGCTCGGCCGGCCACGTTCACATTGAATGACGTCTTACAATCGGCCGATCGGCCGGCCGCTCGCTTTGCATACAAGGAGCGGCGTAATAACGACAAGATTAATTAAACTCGTTACCGGGTGCATGGAAATAGGATGAACGCTGTGGGAAATAAAAGTAGAACAAGCAAGAAACCGGGAGAAAGTTCGCGGAACAAGGTTGGGGATTGGACGGTGGACGGTATAAAAGGATGATAATGAAGGCGTTTTCTCGGGGAGTGAGGGACATTGATCGATGCGCTCCGTTTCTGATTCCTGTTGCTCGCTAACCTCGACGTGGCTAGGGATTCGGTAGTAATGCGAGTTGTTCCCGTGCACGGGAGCCGAGTGTAAAGTTAATCGAATATGACGAAATTTGGACGACGACACTCTCTTTCTTTCTTTCTTTCCCTTCCAGCGTTTATATTATACGCGCTCCATGATTAATTATCGACACGATGCACGTCGATAATATTTAATCCGTGCGAAGCAGGAGTGTCGCGCCAGCTGTGATATTCGATACCGCGTCCAAAACGTCGTATTGGAAAATAACACCTATATAAGCAAAACAACGTATTCAGGACAAGATCGAGACAAGATCGTGAGAGTAAAAAAAGGATCGTATCGTACCCTTCAACTCGTCAATACCTTCCAATACGCGTATATACATGTACATATAAGAAATAACGAGATCGTAAAATCTTGCAAAACTTCCGCTTCTAAAATAATCGATCGAGAAACTTTGTTCCTCGAGACAGAGAAGGGAAGGGAGATTTGGCGCGTCGAAAAGCTGTCACTCGAGCGAGTTCTGCTCAGCCTCTCGGAGAGACGCGCCTCTTATATCTCTTCGTTGCGCCTCTTCCATCGCATAACACGGGCTGACGTTGAAATATCGATACACGGCCTCCCCCTTCGAAACTTAAAATAACCTCTGGCGAGACCAGACACAAAGGCGGCCCACAAGAGTTTCCACGGCGCCGCGGCAAACCGACCACCGTGGAATTATCCACGCTCCTACACCGTATGGCAAATTGATTTATCAGAACGACTAATAGGTATAAATCGCGGTCGCCTGATTAATGCGCCCGCGTGGGAAACACGCGTAAAACTCGCGACGTGCGTACACGCGAGCCACTTCTATATATATAAAATGTATATATATATATATATATTTCTTTTGGTTAACGGATATCCCCTTGGACAGAGGAATCGAAGGGTGAAAAAAGGCAGAGAGGGAGGGGGAGGGGGGAAGGTATATTTATTCGTGGACGAGATACGAATCTAGTCGGCGGTGGTACGACAAGAATGATCCGCATAATTGACGAACGTTGCTCGGCCTAATAGCGAGCCAACCTGGAAAACTTGGCCGCTCGATCGTAACATAAATCCCGACGATAATGAGATGGGTAAATATCGGTTGCCACGCACGTTTAACCGGAATACCTTGGAAACTTTCTACCCAACCTCTCCTCCGGTACTTGAGCCAGAGAGTTATTGAATATCCGTCCAGTCCCGGTTAAATCGATCTAAGATGCCTACTTTTTCCCCCCCCTTCTCCTCTTCCTTCATTTTTCTTCACTTTCGAACCATCCCCGTCCGCTTCCTCTTATCCTCCTCCTCCTCCTCCTCCTCCTTCTCCTTCTTTTTTTCTTTCGAAAATAATTTTAATCCACGCCAAGATATTATTTCGCGATTATATATTATGCTCAGCCGATGCAAGGACCTCGAGTCTTCTACGCCTCCTTCTTTCCCCCTCCTTCCTTTCTTAATGTTTCATTCATGTCTCGGGATACTCCTCTACCGTACTTCTTTCCTTCTCTTTTTTCCACCCCTATTATTATCATACGTTCCTCTCTATTCCTCCGTTGCTCTATATTTCTGCACCCGTGTATTGTCGTGTCCCTAACGTGTCCCCATCCTCGTATCTCTGCCTCTCTATCGCCTCTCCATTCCTTCTTCTCCTTTTTTCCTTTTTTTCTCCTCCTCCCCCTTGTCCTGTGTATTCAACAGTCCCCGCGTGTTTTATATTCCTTTGCCTCCTCCCCATTTTTCGATATTCCAGTCGGCCCGACCATACCTTCCTCCACATCTAAACGGCTACCTGTGCCTGGTCATCCCTCCTATCCCTTCTTCCTTCTCTCAAAATTTCTCTTCGCATTTCTTCGTCCAATCCTCCATATTTGGATCCATCCTCGTCATATTTACCGCATAAATTTAATCCGTTGCGACCATATACGTTTCATTGCTCAATTGAACGACCCACGCGTATATACACGTGTATGTACACGGCGAACTGTCGTCCGGGACGTCGTGCAGGCTGGCAGGAAGGCAAATCGAATACGCGCGTCGTGTCGATACTTCGTAAATATGGATCCTGTCCAGATCGCACAATTGACGAGTTACACGAGAGTTGGACACGAGACTTGGGGAGACCAGAAAAAGCACCCTGGAAACTCCATCCAAGCTCCATCGTTATTTCGTTATTATCGTTGCAATTACCAGCAATGATCTCGTCGGTGATTCAGCTAAGTGATTTGCATCTCGATGGATTTTTCGACGTTTCAACGCAGCTTGGAGAGCTCTCTTTCGAGGGGATTGTCGCGAGGCCTTTAAAGAAGGAAAGGAGAGAGGATAACGAGCGTTCGAGAAACGGTCGTTAGAAATATTCCACTTGACCTGATTCCTTCCTGCTTTAATATCGCGGGCCTATTTCGATAAACGCGGGGAACACTGCGCTGGAACTTCGGCTTGGGAAACGAGGTTAAAGGCAGTTTTATATACCCTCCAAGACAAAATTACTTTGCTAAAGTAGAAGAGGAGTTCGAGATTGGCCCGTGAGGATTTGCGACGGTAGTTGAAAAAAAAAAAAAAGAAAAAAATGGACGGTGATTCGGGGCAAATTGAATTTGAAACGCGCGGGTGTAAACCGCCCAAGATTCTATATAATGCGATATTAGAATATCAAATTTGGGAGATTAAAAACTAATTCACGATCTATTGCTTACCCAATATTCTTAACATTGAAATAAATTAGTGAAAACGTTAAGAAATATCATAAAATTCTCTGGAAAATTTTTAATTCTCGGTTGACTTCCACAACTTCCTTTCATTTTTTTTTCCACCGACAATCCTAACAAATTTAAAGTAAATTGTTACTAACACTTGCTATCCTTGAGCGGTAGTGTATCGCTATCGAAAAGAAGTACGACAAGATGGATCATCGTTGATCGCAAGATGCAGATCGTTCTACGAGCAAACATCCTGTCACAAACGACACGCGTTTCCCTGTTTCGAGAACAGTTGGCGAATAAGGTTCGTTCATCTCGGCCACGTAAGAGAGCGTGTACCGACACTTCCTGTTGCACCTGCGTTAATTAACGCGTCCAAGAAAACTGGTAACTGTGCTCCCAGTTACCGTGTCCCCGATAATACACCTGTTTAATTTCGTGGTCGAGTCAGTTCCCTGTCGCGACTTAATTCGAGACGATTACTCTGCAAAATAGACACACCGGCCTCGTTACGCGGCTCGTTAACTCGTTCAATGTAAATCACGATTATTATGTCCCGGGGAACGGACCATTTTATTTCGAGTGTGCTATTAAACGAACAGCGATGCTCGCCCTCGTCTATCTCAAATGTTCGAGACTTTGACGTGGCGTCCAGCCTTCTCTAACGATCCAGTATAATTCAAACAAGCTTAAAAGAAAAGAAAAGAAAGAAAAGAAAAGCGTTCGAAACGTCGTGGAAAGGAAGGACGAAGGGAATTAACGTGAACATCCGGGAATTTTAATAAAACATGAATCGAAATTAAATTTTCACGTATATCGGTGTACAGCGAAAGTTTGTAAATTTTCTATTAACGGTTAAAAACGTTTACACGTATCGTTAATCACGAAACACGAGTAAGACGGACTTTTATTACGTCCGTAACATTAAATTGGTAAACGAGGCAGGTAATCAAAACAGGTAATTCTCCAAATCTCTTGATGATCGTTACACGAATCTCGATCTCCCCACGACCGAAGTATTTTACCGAAGTGATCAATTCTTATTATTCCTCTCCGACTAAGTAATTAAAGTCGAGAGATAAGATCGAACGAAAAATCTTGCCAACGAAACAGGAAAACGAAAGCAACGATCATCGTTATCTCGATTAAATCCTGGCTCCGACAAACTGAACTAATTTTTCACCATTCGATAAATTAAACCTTGTCGAGTCTTCCTTCCTGTCCGGATTCATCGACCCCCTCGATTCTCCCGAGCACGCACCAAGATCCGTCGAAGCGGACGACGCAAAAGATGGAACGAAAAGGCAGGCGATGGTGGACACGCCATCTCGAGTCCCTTGACGTCATAATTGCTTCGTGTAATCCAGGAATATAACCGGTAATTTGCCACGAGAAGCACAGAAATAACGAAAGGACCGTTAACCCCGTGTCGCGAGGCGTCGTTAAGCGTCCTCGAGTGGAACTTTACGCGGCTGCCTTCGCGAAATCTCATCTCGTGTCCACCATTCGCTCGTCAGCCCCTTTCGTGACGGTGAACGGGTTACGATGACGCAACCATTTCCGCCGCTTCGAACGGTTAATCGTTTCTAGGAGCTAAAAATAGAATCGAATCGTCGCAGACAGAAAGATCGAAAATTTTCCAATTTTTATTCGAAGGGTATTTCGAAGAATAGATGCGAATTCGAATTGCGGAAATAGAATTTAAGATAAAACAATTCAATTTTTTAATTAAATCGCGATTCGAATCAATTACGTCTTCTCGCAAATTTTTCTATCGATACCTGACTGGATGCTTTTTTATTTATTTATACACACTCGGTTTCCTTCGATATCCTTGGAAAGAATTATTCCAACTGCAGCAAAAAAGATCGTGTCCTCTACAAAGTGGCATCCTATCTCCTCTTCCCCAGATGTCAACGATGATAGTTATTATTACAGCTTCGGTTTACATTCACGGGAGGTGGATCAGAATTAGGAGAGGGGAACGAATTAGCCGCCGAGGGGAAGGAAGCGGAAGGTCTTGATTGCCGTGTTTAGGGCGGCGACATTTTAGGTAAGAAAAACGTCAGCCGGCGGGAATCCGTTCCTTCGTCACCGTCGCGGTGATGCAATTTGCGATTGGTTCTCAAGCTTTTTGCCTCGACCACCTTTTTGAAAGATTAACACGAAACGGTTTTGTCACGGGGCGAAGAGATTTCAGTGGAAACGTTCAAATCGAGGAGGAGGAAAGGATAAACTCTCTCCGGGTTTTGATTCAATTTAATTACTTCCCTTGTTACGTGAAAAAATGCAAAGTAGAATTTGATTGACACAAAACTCGTTCGAGGAAAAGAAAAAATCCGTCAGCTGTTCGGACAGTTCGATTACCAGAATTCGATTGTCCGGATTCTTTTTTGCCCCCCTTAAAGCGTATTATTATCTATCATTCAAGTGACAAGTACCGCGTGGAAAGGAAATTGTATCCACCATTCCTCCAAGTCGTACATCAAACTTGACTTTACGTTCCTTTCGCTTCTTCATAATATACCTTTCTAACATCCTTTCCAACTTGGAACGTTAAATTTAAATTTTAATCCATTAATAAATAGAGGAGTTATGGTTACTTTTATGAAAAATAGAATATCAATTTATAAAAAGTACGTTTCCTTCTCGGCAAATATCTCGGCACAAATAGATCTAGATCCGCGTCATCGATCCCAGAGACAAAAAGTTCATCGTCAAAGTAGCCTCGATATTTCCCGACTGCAAGATCGATTTCCTCGAAACTTTCTTTTCACAATCTCGCCACGTTTCCATCCATTCTTTCGAAAACATTTGGGTTCGATAAATTTTCCAATAAGTCTAACGCTTCGTGCACGGTCACAATCGCGCGGAGTAATATCGAAAGAACAAAAAAAGGGGGGGACTGAAAACGTAAACATCCGCGTTACAAAGATGCGTGGGCGAGTCGAGGCGAGTTAGGATCGGCGGAGGATCGATTCTCCGTTCAATTATCGAAGCGTTGTTCGAGCGAATCGATTTCTCGCGGTGTTTAGGCGATGAAAAACGGGGGAGGAAGGAACGGCTGGAATGGTTGACTAGGTTCTTACGCCGATTATTGTCGAGGATTATGTCAGTCGGCCCAAGGCGGATCGTAATAGCGAGTGACAAGAACACAGTGACATGCCTAATGTCGTTTTCCATGCTTGGAAGGCGACGTGTAATGCCTTGGACCCGGGGCAACCTGGTACATTCGTCTTGGCTTTTGTCGTCACGCGAAATCGCATCCTTCTTTTTTTTTCCTTTTTTCCTTTCCTATTTTTCACGTTGCCGACTTGTTTCTCTGTTTGTTGTAGAAATATAGATGCGTTAATACTGGCAAGAAGTTAGAATGTTCCGTGGCGAATCGGTTGGAACGTAAAACTCGGGGAATTTTACGAGTCGTCGCCCGTCGAACAGCTCACTCAAGAGTTTCCGATGTTTGAGATGGTTTGACGTGTGTAGTCGGTCATGGTGCGAGGCTAGCCGATGAATCCTCTGTTTAGAAATTTTCGAGAGTAACGTTTCCAGATTGGCCGATGCGATTTGTGAAACGAAAGTTTTGTATGAATTGTCGAATTATTATTTTAGTTAAGAAACAATACGAACGTTTATCATGGAACATTTAATGTATCTAGATCCTTTCACGATATCGAAAAGAATGCCTAAATTTTCGAGACTTTTCAACGTTTTGAAATTGGCAGATAAACTTTGTAAAACGAAAATTTAATACAAATTGTCGAATTATTATTTTAAATCATAGTTAAGAAATGAAACGGACATCAATGGAGTATATCCTCTCGCGATGTATCGAAGAGGATAGCTAAATTTGCACGAGAGAAACATCGAAAAGATTGTGTGGCCGAGGCAAGTTAATGCGTTTCCGATGTACATCCGTTTTCTAATCGACACGCGAATCTTCCATTTGGCCGAGATTCGCGCCGTGAAACTGATCGAAACTCCCTTGCGAGAGAGTTATTCTCCCCCGAGCAGCGTAACTTACAGTAACGGCATCGGCTTCGGCCATAGATTCACGTGTAACCTTAATAGATGGACATACGAGAAAGGAAAGAGACAAAAGCAGCGTGTGTAAGGAGATTTCAGCCCTCGATATACCGGCCTGAAATAGCGCGAAAGACGAAAATAAAAGAAGAAGAAGAAGAGATAAAAGTGTTAATCCTTGATAACGAGTATGTGTTTTGTACGTTGCGAACGTTACAACGTTAAAAACAAAATAAGTGAAGAAATATGAAAGCCCGAAGATCGATTATCGGAACGAATGACACTTGGCGTAATTGGTGATACTTTGAAACGAAAATCCAAAGGAGCGAAACTCGCTGACGTAAGAAAAGAAAAAGGAACAAAAAAGGAGACAAACGAGAAATTGCCAGTGTATGCCCAGGTGTATCGTAAGACATCTCTGGAAAGGGCTGTCTGGAAAAATAGGAAACACGGTATTCCACTTATTTGAGACGCTATCAACCGCGTTTTCGCCGTGGAAATAATAAAGACGATAATAATACGAAAAACCGACGTAACGCTTCGTGTTACTAACACCAACGCCTGACACTTTTCTTATTAACCATATTCGAGCAAAGTTTTCAAAATGCAGCCGAGCATATCTTCAGCGAAAGAAAAAAAAAAATAGAAATAAAGAACCGAGAAAGGACAAAGGGATAAAAAGGATCGTCGAAAGATGAGGATCGAAGACACAATGCTACGGAGAAAGAGAGGGGAAAAGCGCGCGAAAAAACGAGGAACACGATATTGCAAGCGTCGGTAGCAAGCGTCCCCGCCACGATCAGTTAAGAAATTAGAACCGATTTAGCGCAACGATTGGCCGATGGTGGGTAGATGATCGGATGTTGCGCCTCCCTGTTAATTGAGATTAATGCAAGCCGTGAATTCTCAAGGAAAGTTTCGCGTAGACGGAATAATTACGCAGATACGAATCTGGTGTGCGCCTCGTAGCCGAGCCCCCGTGCGCTTCAACTACTCCCCGAGACGATAACCAAGTACCAAGTATCCAACTCGGCCGTGTATCTGTATCCACTTGCGTTTCGCGACCCTTCCCCTCCTCTGCAATCGATCATCCTTCTCACCCCCTCCTCCCTCGACGATCACTCGCCTCCCTCGCCTCTATTTTCTCCCCCCCCTCCTATTTCGATTTAACGCCGCGGGCCAAAGCCGCGGAGATCGAGCGGATATTTGACGAACTGGTTCGAAGGAACATCCTGGCGAGATTAGGCGAGGAAAGTTGGCGGTTTATTCGTGGATCGCTTCCGGTGATCTTATTCCGATTCTGGGGGGACGCGCCAACAGCGTTCCATAAGAAATATTATTCCGTTTCTCGATATTCCGTATTATTACCCCGCTTCCTCCGATACAATATATTTTTATATAAAATTTTATACACGAATCGATCTTATTTAAAGTATCACGTTTGCATGTGCCGCTCTCGAAACTCAAATCTCATTCCATTTCGCGCCAAAAATCCGA